AAGTCAGCCATTCTCACCGCTTGGTCACCTACCTTCGCCAAGCCAAAAATTCGAGGAAACTCGCTATTTTTGGTCGACGCGTGATCGTTGCGCCCGTAAGCCGATTGGTGAGTCACTCAGTGGCCCCATTTTTCCCTTCTGATAAGTCGGCGCTTATTTAGTGATCGGACCCCCTTGCATTCACCGAAGCTCCCAAAAATGAGCTGTAAATTCGACTTTTCCGGCAAGAAGGTGCTAGTGACGGGCGCGAGTCAAGGTAAGTAATGCATGATGGCATCGACTTTTCAAGTACTTTTTGTAAATGTAATTTTAGCTTTTTCTGATAGTGAACCTAAAACCCGTAATTGCTAGGACTTGGGAAAGAACTCTGCGTTACGTTGGCTGGCTTGGGCGCCAAGGTCTATGCTTTGGCGAGACGCGCGGAGCAGCTGAAGGAGCTGGCTGATAAGGTATTTTACGTTGTTGATGGGCCTTTCTAGCACAATGTTGTTCAATTCTAATAATTATAGAGTTTTTATTAAAGCTGGACGATCTCTGCGAAAAATGAATGATTATTTTGTTCAGCATCAAGGGATCACGGCGGTGGTTGGAGACGTGACATCCAGCAAGGCGGAGCTGGAAACAATTTTGAAACCGGTAAGTTGCCATTTTAATTCCGTTGATTTAGAAGAGTCAAACCGCTAAGTTCAAAGCATGCTTAAACTTCCTAACCGTTCAAATGTTTATCGTCAACCGGCTTTAGTACCAGCCCTTTGATTTCCTTGTCAACAATGCCGCCATTGCCTTTGCGGCCTCTGCCCTGGACGCCACTGAACAGGAAATTGACGAGTCAGTTCTAACTTTCTAGCAAAAAAATAAACGTGTTTTAGCATGTACCGAGTCAACTGCCGGGGACCGATCATCATCGCAGAAATCGTCGTCCGAGAGATGATTGCGGCGAAGCTTCAGGGAGCCGTCGTGAACGTGTCCAGCCAGTCGGGAATTCGCCCGCTGCACGATCGCGTCGGATATTGTAGGCGCTACTAGGCTATAAACAACGAAAGAATTTTTTCTAGGCAGTTCCAAGGCGGCACTCGATATGGCAACCAGGTGCCAGGCCCGGGAATGGGGCGAACATGGAATTCGGGTGAACGCCGTCAACCCGACCGTCATCGTGCTGGAGGAAGGACTCGGGGTAGGCTTCATCTCTTCATTTTACTGCATTATTTCAAACGCTTTTTCAGCTATGGTCCAACCCTGAGAAGGCGAAGTGGATGCGCGATCAACTGCCGCTCAAGAAGTTTGCAGGTATCACTTTAAAAATTGGCTATTTCGCAACCTTTTTTAAATACAGGGTGTGACAAAAAAAAACCCGCTCCCCTCTAGAGGCCGTCAATCGGATCGGATCGGAATGATTTTTATACCAATCGAAAGCTCACGGAAAGGCTAGAAAACAAACGGGTTTCGTTTTCTAAGATTTAATCTGATTCTATCGATATTTCAGTTTTTCCTAAAAAGCCGGGAATTTTTCATCAGGAATTTCAATTTCAAAATTCAACCCTCCTTGTTTTCTCGCCTTTTCAAGAGCTTTCGATAGATACCTAAATCGTAAAAATCGGAATCGACTGCGGACCGCTAGGTAGGGGGGTTTTTTTTGGGACACCCTGTAGATTTAACTGATTTTCTGGTTTTCTCTAAAGCCTTATAATCATTTTTTCAGCCGGAAAAGACGTGATCAACGCCATCCTGTTCCTGCTCTCCGATGCGTCCGCCCTCACGACCGGACTAGCATTCCCAGTCGATGCCGGATATTCAACAAATTAACTTTATAAAATCTGCGATAAATACCTTAAAGGGGCTCAGAAGTCAAAATTCGTGCGTGCGGGGATTGAACCTACGGGTCAAAAAACGAAACGGTCACTGCCGAGAAGTGCCAAAAACGTTCGTTGGTTGCGAAAAAACGTAAAATGTTTGAGAAAAACCGAATTCTTTTTGGGGCAAAACGACATTTTGAGTGCGCGGCGATTACATGTCGTAATGCCTTATAATGCACCCAATCTCTCGATGTCGATGATTCTCTTGTCAATTTTCATAATTTAAAAGGCTCGAATGATCAAAATTCGTTGAAGATTCCAAAAATTAGTATCAGAATTTTTAAATTCAATCGTTTTCGCGTCCAAACAGAGGCAAAAAATCATGCGGCGCGGGCGCATCTGGCAATTTGCCAGGAATCACAGCAGGGGCCGTGGACCAGATTTCGGAGCCCCTTCAAATCTGTGCACGAAAAGACCCCATCCGGAAGACCGGGACGTTTAAAAGGATTTAAAGCATCTCTCGGATCAACATTGCATTTGAAATCGCTTTCATTTCGACTAGCGCACGTCATCAACAAACGATTTTCTAGATTTCTATTGCCAATAAAACTCTTTTGTTTCCAAATATAACTAACGAAATATGCTGTTTCAAAAAATACCGCCGAGTTTGTTGCCGTTTCTGACAACAAAATGGATCGTTTCGGAGAGCTCGTTTTTGCACATGTGCCCACCCACCCAACAATGCCCCGGAGACAAAGTGGATGTCCGAACAAGCTGCCCAATGAGCGCGATCTGCTTGCACAGGCCGGCCAGCTACAAAGCGGACACGGATGCTACATGTTCCCGGTCCCGGAACGGATCCGCAATATATAAGCAGACGCGCGGCCGTAGAAATCAGCAACCATCGCCAAGCAAAACAACTTCACATCTGGCAAGCAAAATCGTTTTGGTTTACCAATTTTTATATTTCAGCCATGTACACCAAAGTCCTCGTCGCGCTCGCCCTTTTCGGCACAACAACTGCTCTTAACTGCACGTCAGCGCTAGGACGTGAGTTTGGAAATGGTTGCTAAAGTCCTGAAACTGTAGCATGTCTTCCCTCGGCCAGCTGCATCGGTGTGAGTCCGACGCAGGGAACGATCTGCACAGCCGATGGATGCTGCGCGGGCGCAAATCTTATTGACGGCGCGACCACGGCGTTTACTTGCTCCGGAGGAGCGATTGGACGTAGGTTCTCACCTGAACCTATCTAACAATTGAGCGGGCTCCCTAGAGTTCCACTAGACTTTCAAGCGCCTATCTGTGCATCATTTTTGGATCGTTAACTTTCAGCTTGTAACGCCGGACAGTGCCCAGACACCACCGACACTGCATGCGTTGGCACCCAGATCGATGGCGTTGGCCAGTGCTGCCCCGGATCTGGCATTGTCGCCGTCACCAGCACAACTTCTACGACGACTGCCACGACGAGTAAGTCAATGTCCTTCGGATTTACCTTAACTTTTAGCATACTGTGTCGACCTCCTCAACCCTGACACCGGAGTCTCGGACTGCCCCAAGCGCGCCTACCTCTGCGCCGACTCCACCTACTATGAGGTGATGGCCGTCCAGTGCAGGAAGACGTGCGGATTCTGCGCTACGACATCTTCCTCTTCTACAAGTAAGCCATGTTTTTCATTACTCTTAAACGATCTTTAGCATGCGTCGACCAGGTCAACGCCTACACCGGAGTCTCGGACTGCTCTTCTTTGAGGTAAGAAGCTCGAAAATCTTATTCAGCTGATTCATTTTAGCTACCTGTGCTCGAACCCTACCTACGCTACCCTCATGGCCACCCAATGCTGCGCCACCTGCTCGAGCTACGGAAAATAAGCGCGTCACTTCAATGATGCTTCAACTATACATTGTACATATAGGACTAGGATTACTTATCGTGGTTATGGATAGGAATAAAAGGAAAAAACGAATCGCTAGAAAATTCCAAAACACTCCAGTAAAGACCAGAAAACCAGACTGAACAGCAAGTGCTCAATTTCCCACGAAAACGAAGAGTAAGTAAGGGTTTCAACCCTTCTAAAAGACTTGAAAACCAAAAAGCCTACGACACTCGGGATTCCCAAGCCGTCTCCGATCCAAGTACTAACCGAGCCCAACGTTGCTTAACTTGGCAGATCGGACGGGATGCCGTGCTTTCAACGTGGTATGGTCGTAGGCAAATGGGAATCGGAGAGGGTGGGTGAAGTGACAGGGGTGTGTAACGACTGGGCAAAGAAAAGACGTAGTAAGCATCCAGGCATGCATCAAATTCAAAGTGCTGTGTGTTGAAGTATCGACACTTTTGGGCACATGCTCGTTAATCCAGAGCCATTTGTGCACTCCCTTGGGGGAATGCGTTCCAAAATTTGTACGAAACACTCTTTTGAGTGAGGTCTCGGGGTTAATGCTAACCTCAAACTTGGGTAATTAAACCGAAGCTGAGGACGGGTGGCTGCTATTCACACCTATCCGTAGTCTCGGCTGGTAGCTTTCAACGGGCAAGCACCCAAGGAGCGATCTCTTGTTGTCTGGGTTCCATTTGCCACCTATCCACACTCTATCAGCACCGCAAGGCAGCACCACCCTACGAAGAGACCGCGGACAACGAGAGATCGCTCGTTGGGTGCTTGCCCGGTAGCAGACATGAAAGGAGAGCACCGATAGGTGATAAAAGCAGCAACCCCACCACAGCTTCGGTTTAATTACCCAAGTTTGAGGTTAGCATTAACCCCGAGACCTCCTCAAAAGAGCGTTTCGAACAAATTTTGGAGCGCATTCCCTAAAGGGAGTGCACAAAGAAACCTAGCTAGTATGACCGGGGAAGGTCATATCCCCCCCGATCGATCATATCTTTCACCGTCAATTATCTATCTTGGTAAATATACCGCTTAGTTGCCCCTTCCCTCGCCTACGACCATACCACGTTGAAAGCACGGCATCCCGTCCGATCTGCCAAGTTAAGCAACGTTGGGCTCGGTTAGTACTTGGATCGGAGACGGCTTGGGAATCCCGAGTGTCGTAGGCTTTTTGCATTTTTAGATGGTTTTAAAGGAGCGATGCTTTCGATATTCTGCAACCTAAATTTTCTCTAGATTTTAGGTTGCTATTTATGTGATTCTGAATTTTGCTACAATTTCTGCATATCGTGTTTTCTAGGTTTTATTCTGTTCACCAAGTCACGGCTTCGGGTTTGGATTCTTCCTCGGTACATTCATCCTTCTTTGTGCATCTACCGTCGGCTCTTCTCACCAGGCCGGGCTTGCACAAGCAAACGTTATATGCAAGGATGCGAGGGCATGTGGCCTAAATATATGATTTCGGGACTGACTTCGGTGGTTTTGCATACATAGCGAGAGAGAGAGAGCGAGAGAGAGAGCGAGAGAGAGAGAGAGAGAGATAGAGAAAGGCAAACAGACAGACAGAGACAACGGGTTTGGAAGAAGAACGTTCTCACCGGCCCGCTGCACAATTCGGCATCGCAGCGAGAGCCTTCTTTCACGAAGTACTCCTGCTCCAGGCAATCTGCAATTTTTCAGATGAACGGAGTAGGAAATCACGTGAAGTCGATTAAGTATCTGTGCAGCACGGCCGCAAAACTTTTCCATAGTTATGTAGAGATGAAGGTGGCGAAAGACGGTTCCGCAAATGACCTTTGCAAACGCTCACCTTCCGGCTTCTGCCCGTTGCGATGGTGGAAATACGGCCAGAAATCGCCGAGGACGCCGGTGACGCAGACGAACAGCAGCAGGCACTTCATTTTCAACCTAAGACGCTCCAAAGGAGGATGTCGGCAAGAATTCCCGGTAGAATTCGTATATATAGCTGGGCCAAATTTCATATTCGGTAGAGCGGGAACAATAGCGCGCATTGCTATTCAGAGGGATTCCTATTACAATTCTGGACGACGCTGTGATGTTCCGATTTATAGGACGAAAGTAAAAGGTTGATCCCAACAGATATGAAATTCTATGTCTCACCCTGTTTCGGTAGTTGGACGTTATTTGAAAGCGAGAGCGAGGGAGAAAGAGGTAGAGAGAGAGAGAGAGAGAGAGAGAGAGAGAGAGGGAGAGAGATTCTCCATTCCTGTCTTAGCAGGGTCCCCGCTACCGCCCGGGACCCCTCACTCAAAAATTGGAAAGTACACGATCCCTTATTGGGGGATGGTGTTGTGGTTCAGCCTGACCGGGGAGTGCAATGGCCGGGCCTCATCACAGAATCTCCTCCTTCATGATCGAGGATCATCACTTCCAGGTAGGTTATCCAAATACGGGTACTGTAGGTTGTCAATCAAAATAGTGGGCCAGAAGGGGAAAGTTTGGGCAACCGGAAGTGATATTGGGGAGTTGCATGCAAATTTAAAATGTTTACCTGCTTCCTAACGAACCAGTCGTCAAGTTAATCTTAATCGCCTTAGTTTATGCAAAATTAAGATGTATTTGATCGCTATGAGAGGGTCCCTGATCATTATCTATTAGTGCGTTGCCCTTCGTCTTGATACCCCTTGACCCAGTTCCGCCCAAAGCAGACTTGGTGACACCGCCAGCACAGCTGTCGGACCGATGATAAGACGCACGATTTTACTGGGAAATCATCCTCATTTCACACCACAACATCCTCCACCTTCGGCTCCCGGACCAAACACGATGGCTCTCAACTTCGAAGAGGGCTCCGAACCGTCAAAGCATCTCAATGAGGAAGCACTCTATCGGGTAAGTTACCATACCGTTTTTTCGATTCTAGGTCCCCCCCCCCCCCCGAAATTAACTAGTTCCCCATTTACCAGCCCCTTTAAATGATAAATCGGTATTTTTCAGTTCCACTCGAGAGAAGGCACGGAATTCACGCTCGAGAAGTCGGCCGCCCAGTTGTTCGGAGTCGTCAAGCAGATCTCACGGGTAAGTTCGGGTGTAATACAGATGTATAACTCCTGGCAGCTTCTGATTGTTGCCTTCTCGGGCCCTTTAAAAAATCTTTAAAATTCACTTAAAATTCAAATAATTTCAAAGTAACATTTGAATTAATGTCCTTACCGCGACCTCCATACTTAGGTTTTTCAGGAGCTGGGGGTGCAGGATGATGAATCGATCCGGAAAATGAAGCCGATTCCGCTGACGAAGGTCTCCAGCGAGACGTTGAACTTTGTAAGTGCTTTTCTGGCGTGTAGAATTTGTTATTAACTATTTTTTTACATTCACGACAAGCTACGATATTTAACTATTTCGTTAAATCCACTAAGAAGCTGTCGATTTTCTAGTTATTGACTGAGGGATCCCACTCTATTTTTCAGATCGTAAAATGGTGTGATTATCATAAGACGATGCCGCCATGGGAAGAGGAAAAATGGTGGCTGAACGAGAGAGATGGGGAGATGAAGAACTGGTAGAACACATTTATGGATGCGCTCACCTCCGAGCAGCTCTTCAACGTCATCACCGTAAGTTTTCGTAATTTTTGCTCGGTCATGTAAAATTACGGCTTTGGGCTTCAGGCTGTAGAGATGGTGAGTACTGACCTGCTAACGGCGTTATACTTACCTAGTCATGTCTAGCATACTTTTAGCTTATTTTTTACGTGTTTAGGCGGTTTTTAATTTAAGTGATAAAAATCTAACATTTCCAAAATGTCAATTTTACCCTTTTTTCACAACGAAAGCGTGACTTGTAAAAATGTTCTTTTCAGGCAGCCGACCACTTGGGCATCAAATGCCTTGTCGATAAATCGGCCGAAACCATTGCCGGTATGATCAAAGGGAAGACTGTGGAGGAGATTCGCGAGTGTTGGCGGTTCATGGACGACCTCATGGGAGAAGAGCAGGAGGCGATGAAGTAAGTGGTAGTTCACTTGAATCAAGAGGGAGCGTGGATTAAAATTTTGGGGTAAATCTTGAAGTGTAGAAACCAAAAAGAAAATAGGTTTTCTTGATTTCTCCTTGAGCTATCGGGCGGCATATTAATGTCATCCAGCAAGATACACTAAATAAAATCTTACTTTCCAGGAGTGAGAACGCGTTGGAGGTGATTCTACGTGACATGGAAGCACTTAACGATGATGTCGCCGACCAGCAGACTCCAGCTGAGTGAATACCCTGTAACTATATAGATTGATCTCTGCGGTTGCTAGTCTGAATAAATGTGTGTTTCCTCACATCACTCGCAAACCAAAGGTTGGATCGCAAACAAGCTAAAACTAAAGCTGTAACTAAACTACAATCTACTACAATTGGGTCTCAAAAACTGAAGGAATCGAACTAAAGAATCACTGAAAAGCTTAGCAATTGGTAATCTGACTACCCAAGCCTTGAGAGGCTGCTTGTAGAACACCAAAAACGTTTAAAAGCGCTTGAAAAGCCACTTCTGAAGCACAAAAAATCAATTGGATATACCCGGAAGTGCAAAAAGCCTACGACACTCGGGATTCCCAAGCCGTCTCCGATCCAAGTACTAACCGAGCCCAACGTTGCTTAACTTGGCAGATCGGACGGGATGCCGTGCTTTCAACGTGGTATGGTCGTAGGCGAAATGGGAACGGGGAGGGAGGGTGAAGTGTTAGCGGTGCGTTAGAGTGGGACAGAGCTAGAGGTCTCAGACGACAGTCGCCCCAGCTCGTGCAGAGCAAGTTAGTGGAGGTATCAGACGAGCAGATGCTCGCTTTTTGGAGGGTTGCCCTGCGAGAGACTGATATCTACGAGCTGGATAGGACAGTACAGCAGCCACCACTCCAGAGCTTCGGTTTAATTACCCAAGTTTGAGGTTAGCTTTAACCCCGAGACCTCCTCAAAAGAGTGTTTCGATCAAATTTTGGAACGCATTCCCCTAAAGGGCGTGCACAAAGAGAGTGAAGCCTTCGACGGCATCTGTATTTTCCGTATTAGCAGGGTCCCCGCTACCGCCCGAGACCCCTCACTCAAAAATTGGAAAGTACACGATCCCTTATTGGGGGATGGTGTTGTGGTTCAGCCTGACCGGGGAGTGCAATGGCCGGGCCTCATCACAGAATCTCCTCCTTCATGATCGAGGATCATCACTTCCAGGTAGGTTATCCTCATTTGGGTACTGTAACTCGTCAATCAAAATAGTGGGCCAGATGGGGATAGTTCTAGAAACCGGAAGTGATATTTTGTAGTTGCATGCAAATATTGCTAGCCGGGAACCGAGAGCCTCCAAAACCCCTGTGGGCACAACGATTGATAATCATGAAGTTTATTCTAATTTAGAAGAACTATCTATCCTATATCTAATATGTACAAAAGGGGAGATCTGTTGTAATTATGGTTATTTTCCGTAGCTGGCGCATGTGGCGCAGCATTGTGTTGCCATCAGGGTCGAGTAGAGCGAGTTGTTGCAGAGGTACCTAGATCAAGTCTCGATAATTCCAAGTCTTCAAATGATAGAGCTGAGCCTTATCATGCAAAAACATTCTACTTACCTGAGGCTGGAGCAGTCCGAGATGCCGGTGTAGGCGTTCGTCTGATCAACGCATGCTAAAAGTAGGTGCTTTCTAGGCTGTAATTCGTTATTTACTCGACGAGTAGCTAGAAGTAGTGGCGCAGAATCCGCACGTCCTCCTGCACTGGACGGCCATCACCGAGTAGTAGGTAGAGTCTCCACAGAGAGCACGACGCTTCGGGCAGTCAGAGACGCCAGTCACAGGGTTGAGCAGATCGACGCAGGTGGCTGAATATCCTATCCTATAAGCGAGAAAAGTATGTCTGTTTTCTGTGCAGCCGATTTCTCGGCCGTCAGGCCGAATTTTGCGCTGATTTTTGGCATGGAGGTGGAGAAACACATTCTCTTTATAGGCATTTTTTTTTTCGAAATTCCCTCATTTAAGGATTTTACAAGCAAAATAGTGGAAAACCCTTAACACTTTGGCCAAAAAAGGTTTGTTCAGAGGATATCTCGCGATCCAAAAGGAATTAGGCGCTGATTGTTGGAGGGCAGATTGAAAATCGAATTCTCCCGATATATAATTTTGCGTTTTTTCAGACTTTGTAAAATAAAATTTTTATGTGCGTTTTTCTAAAAAGTCCTTAACAAAGTGGGCTGCGCGCCGTGGTGTTCTGTCCATCACTCGATGCCCATTTGGAATTTCGGGCTGGAATTTGGACAAATTATGTATTGGATAGTGGGGATCACGCGCATCTTATTATCGTTAGAAATTTTCAGCAGATTCAGACTCAAAGATCGAGTTGTGTAAAGTGACCAGGAGGCCACCCGCCCGGGATCATTGGGGCGCCCTTTTCTTTGCCACCCCTCCCCCGCAGCCTTCCCCAGAAAGAAGAGACCTTTCAGGACACCCCTTCCCATCTTCTCTGTGGTGTAGTGGGTTGGCGCCCGGTCTACCACACGTATGGTCAGGAGTTCGGGTCCTGGGAGAATCCAACCTTTTGCTTTTTGGTAGTTTAGCAACAAAACGTATTTCTAGGCTCCCGATGTGCGAGGTTTAGGCCTGACCTTCGCTCTAGCGCCGGCCCAAGAAAAGGGGCTTGAACCAGGCTCTTGCGCCGCAGGCCAACGATGGGTCCTTGGCCCAGGCTCTCGCGCCGCAGGCCAAGCCTGGGGGGAAAACCAGTAACTAGCGCCTCAGACCTAATTATCCTAGCGCACCGCTGTCTCTGACGCCGCAGTCCAAAGAATGGATCCTTGACTCAGGTACCTGCACCGCAGACCCAAAAAAAAGAAGGTATTCAAATTCATGGTTTCTGGACGGGGTCCAGTGGAAAAGAGCCGCGAAGCGGTCTTTTTCCACTGGTTGGGT